CACACACACACACACACACACACACACCAGCAGCCCCTCTCGCTCAGTTTTTGCATTTCCAGCAGACAGTAGTGAATGACTTCGCCAAGTTGGGAATTGTAGTCTCAAAGAAGAAAATCACAAGAACCTTAAACAGGAACAGACTGACAAACTGGGAATCTCATCAAGATGGAAGGAATCAAAATATGTCACAGAAAACCTCAAGTCAGCAGCAAAACTACGTCAAGGTCATTGCTTTGTCTTCCAACATGACAACAGCCCAAAACATATGACACTCCTGATGAAGAACTTCCTCTACAGGTCCAAAGTGAACATTACTGTCTGGGCTCCACAAAGCCCTCCTACTGAAGATCTATGGGGTGAACTGAAGAGCAAGGTCCATGCCAGAGAAGCTTGAGAGATTTACCAAAGAAGAATGGGCTGGGCTAATCATTTATTTCCATGGTAGTTAGCTGCACATACCTGATTGTCGTCTACTTCAACAACGGCAGTAAAAAAGGACCAGCTGCGCCATCGAGTATCCGCCAGACAGTCAGCCTCTGAATAGGCCAAACTTTGCTCTGTAGTGACTACTTTGTGTTGTTGTTTTTGTGTGTCGGCTGGAGAGAGTTTACAAATGAGAAGCAAAAAAGAGCCGTCTGATATTCAAAATATATTCAAAGGTGAGAACAGGCTTTTCCCTGCAGCACGGTATGTAATAAAGACTCACTAAGAGAATAGTGGCATTTACCAGAAGTACAAATACTTCATTAATGTACTTAAGTCGAAATTTCAGAATCAGTTATTTATTCTCAATAATCCCGAGTAAACCATCACCAAACTGGTTTAGATCTCTGGAATCGTCCATTTCTAAATTGCTTTGAAAGATAAACCTGTGTATTATCTTAAAAATGCTTCAAAGGACCAAGGATGAAGCTCCTGAACGGGTCCGGGACAGGCTTGCGGACCAGGTGTTCTGGCTGGGCCTGGGAGTTTGGGTTCTGGGTCATGGCTGGGGTGTCACCAGGGTTGTGGGTTGGTGCATGCAGGCCCCCGTGCACGGGGGTTTGGCCCTGGCAGACTTCAGCAAATCAGTGGAAGTGGGGGCCTCTTTAGCTAACGGGTAGGTTGGGACCATCTTTTGCAGGTGGTCTCTGCTCTTCGGGAGTCCACTCTGTGGGTGGGGGGGTCTAGCAGAGGTGGAGGATGGGTGAACCTGGGTGTCCATTGACTGAATGTTGGGGTGGGTGTAGTTTTTCCCCTGTAGTGGAGTCGGGTGGGCCACCCCGAGCTCTCTGGGGCTCAGTGGTGCTATTGCCCCAGTGTGGATGGGCCTGGCCCCCCTGCCCTTGGTGGATTTGGGGAATGGGGGTGTCCATGGGGGTCAGCGGGGGAACTGGCTTCAGGTAGGAGGTATTCCTCCTCTGTCCCCTCCTGGCTACCTGAGCCTCAAATTTATTCCACACCACAGACACTCGCATTACGTACACGGTCATGACAAATGCATATCCGGTTGTTCAGTGATGACGCGACGAATCCTACTTCCGGG